CCAACGGCTTAGAACAACAAAATTGACCATAGTGCAGGGATGTCAAACTCAATTTATAAAGGGCCGCAGTTCTGCACATTCCAACCCTAATTAAACACGTGCTTAAACTAATTGAGTCCTTCAGGCTTGTTGAAACCCACAGGTAAGTGTGTTGACACAGGGTTGGAACTAAACTGTGAGCTGCGGCCCTCCGGGAATTGAGTTTGACATCCCTGCTATAGTGTGTGTGTGTGTGTGTGTGTGTGTGTGTGTGTGTGTGTGTGTGTGTGTGTGTGTGTGTGTGTGTGTGTGTGTGTGTATGGGTGTTTTCCAGAACTAGGTTAAGACTGAAAGGGCATCTGCCACATAAAACATATGCCAGAGTAATTGGCGGTTCATTCTGTTGTGGCGACACTAGTTTAGCAGTGCTGGTCATGTGTGCATGATGCTTCTGTCAGTCTATTATGTCTCTCCTGTCGCTGTTCTTCATCTAAAACTCCACATCTATAATCCTCTTAGTCTACGCTGACATTATCTTCAGCAGCTCAAACACTCTGATGGCTAATGGACAGACGGCTGCTTCTCACTTAGGGCTGCTGTTTATGCTAATGAGGGAGAGATAGGCACTAGTGGGCGGGGCTTCCACCCTCTGATGACAAGTACAAAGGGAGAATGTCAATCAAAGGGTTTATGTTTATAAACAAATGCATTTAATAAATGTTAACCCTATTAAAACAGCCGCTTTATATAATAGATCGCCTTTAATTTGTCTGCAGATGTTTAATTATTTGGGAATTGGAGAGGTATGAGAATCTAATGTTGTTGTAGTGGTCACAGTGTAGCAAGGGATGCTCAGTTTCCACCATTCTCACAGTCTCTCTCCCTCCCTCTCTCCATCTGCCCCTCCTCTCCTGCTCTCAATCTCATTCTCTCGGTTCAGTCCATCATTCTCTCAGCTCTCGTCGCTTGTTTGCTGACGAACAAACCCGATAAAGGATGTAAACGACTGAAAGCGATGATTCTCCCGCACGCAGAGCTGGAACAAAAGCAAAAGAGCCACAATGGAGGAGCGTATAGATGCTGCAGCGCCAACTTTCATCATCCTTCACTTTCATTTCAGCACACGGTGAGCATTTACAGCCACTTTACTCAAGCGTGCATATATCCTGCATATTAAATCACGTAGTAATACCTTTATATTGTAAGTGTATGTGCATGCATTTATTTATATAATAGTATTTTTTTATTATTATATATAGCATTTATAATTAAATTTGCATGTTTTGTTGTCTTTAATACGTCTTAAAAGTTCATAAAAATTTAATTAAGTGTAAAAAATAGACATTATAAGAGTAATACATTTTTGTTTAACTCTTTAATGAACTAAAATCAGCATTTAAGCTTATGCGTGCGTGCGTTTATATTTTCGTGCACGTGTTGGATACTTTAGTTCGTTATTATTATAATTATTATTAAAGCAATTTGTGCATTTAAATGCAGCTTTTATTGCTGCAAAAAATGCATGTGCAGATTTCTTTTGCAATAATGTTTTATTAGAGAGCACGTTTAAAATGCATCATCGTGCGTTGTTATTTACAGTAAAACATACTCAGAATATTTCATGTAATATTCATAGCCTTATGGTGTTCTGCAAATTGTAACAAGCAATGCATTTAATTACATTGAAGAGAAAGCATCGTATGCATTTGTGAGGAAGCAGTGTGTAGTGGTGTGTGAGGCCTGGTGATGCTCCTGTGCGTGCATGCGTGTGTGCGTCGGGGGCGCTTCATGGGAAAATGTCTCCAGACTCTGGCCCCTCGCTGCTCCCAGACAATATTGTGATGATAATGAGGAGCAGCTCGTTGTTGAACTTGATGTTGACTTCTTTCTTCAGGCCTCATTTTTTCTCGGTCACTTGTTTGTGGTGTGTATTTTTCTTTCACACGGTTCTTCGCTGGGGATTATTTGAGGCGAACAATAGACTCGGATGAATAATGACGGTCTCGTTTTCTTGATTAAACATATTGCATTTTAATGAGTCTGAATTCTGAGGAGGACACTTGTATTTTATTGTTTAATCATGTTTATATATATATATATTTTTCCTTTTAACTGGGTTTGTTTTTAATCTATTTTTAAGTTTTATTTTTTAGACACAAATCTCAGTTTATGTTTTTAATTAAGAAGCATTTTACGAAATATTTTCAATATACTTTATTACAGTGTAAATAAATCTGGTTGCCTTAATTTTTTAAGCTAATTCAAAGTAACCTTATGAGTCCATTGAACTTACATTATGTTAAACTGATTTAAAACAGCCTGCGTAGCTTATAAAATTAAGTTAGAACATGATTAACTTAATTTAATAAGCTACAATGACCTAAAAACAAATGCTGCCATGACTAACTGATCATAGAATTTTTTTTACAGTGTATATTCGTGTGTGTGTGTGTGTGTGTGTGTGTGTGTGTGTGTGTTGCATGTGATTGCTGGTGTGTGTCGTACAGTTTTAGAGCAACAGGTGCTGTTGAGGCCTTTAATAATCTGTTTTTATTCACTAAAATAAAACACAACATTTAATGTTTTATGCTGCATGATTTCTTAGCTTGGGTTTTATTTATTTATTTTTAAGGAAGCCAATTTTGCAGGAACTGTAGTCCACATGACTGTAAATTAAACATATATTTTTAAGTGCCTCTCGTCTTATTTTCTGGCTTTGACAATTTCTAGCAGTGGTAATTTAAATTATATTTTATATTACGTATTATCTTGTTTATATTATTTATATTACGTATTTAAAAAAGATAATAATAATAATAATTAGTAAAAAAAATATTGGTATGAAGCAGTTACACACACACACACACACACAGAGAGAGAGAGAGAGAGAGAGAGAGAGACACCTCAGAATGTATAGTTTATTCTATTTCTTCATTTTATGCACAAACATATTTCGATTATATCTGACAAGCTGATAAGTGCTCTTGAGGATAAAAAGCTCATAAGATTTTGACGTGTATTTCTGCAACTTTCATACTTTTATACAGTATTTCGCATCAGAATAGACTTATCTAATAAAAAAAAATATAGTTTTTTGACTAAAATGCAACAAAGAAATCTGCAATTACTTGTATATTGTTTCATTATTTTATTTATAATATATTTATGATTTTACTTGAACAAAAACACGTTTCATACCTTGTTTTAGAAGGAAACAAAAAGTTAGATATTCATGATTTAATACAGCGTTTATATATATAAACACTGTATTAAATCACCAGAAAAGCTGTATTTTAAGATGAGCGTAAATCGTATTATATTCCTTAAAACGCAAACAAATCAGTTACAAGGGAGAAAACGAGCAGAAAAATAGCTACATAAAATGAATGCAAACACAATAAATTTCCTAAAATGATTACATTAATTTCGTCTAAATTTTAGTTGGTTTATTTATTTAGAATTAGTGTAGTTTTTTATACTAAGACGCACGTCGGGTCAAATTTCATGACAAAAGGACATCTCAAATTTCATTACAAAAACAAAATATGGGGCTTAATACCGTCTAAAATGCTCTTTCATACAGAAATAATACCAAAACACCTTATACATGTAACCTTTTCTAATAATGCACACAAATACAGAGTCAATAAAACAACTAATGAAGTGTCTTTGTGTTGTAAATGGTTTTACTGAGCTCATTAAATCCTCCTTTTTCCCCCTTTCTCGTAAATTCTGATGCTCGGATTGAACAGCATCATTTCCAGCTGAGGGTTTCCTAAAAACATCAACACCGCAAACTGAAGACTCGCTATTATTTTTCTGGACTGATTTAAGCTCGTTTTATGTTGTGTATGTCTGCAAGAACATGCTGTCTCAGTGTGTGTGCATGGCACGGTATGTGAATGGAACATTCCACCTGCATGTAAACTAAAGGACACGTGGACGATTCCATTAAGCGTGTGTATATCTCTGATGACGTAGTCTAAAATATTTCACATAAACACAGCATCAGATCACGAACGTCGGTGCAGAGGGGATACAGCTGCGGTCGGAGGTGAACGAAAATGATTTATATTAGGCTATTTATGAGTTTAAATGTATTTTATTAACGTCTACCCTATAACCCAACCATCACAGTGATGTAAAACAGCAATTAAACCAAGTATTGTTCATATTATTTATTAAAATACTCATTAAATTGTATTTTATTAACGTTTACCCGTACTTCAACCCTCACAGTAATGTAAAAAACAGCAACTGTAGCCTGTATTATTCATGTTATTTATTAAATCACCCATTACATTGTATTCTATTAACGTTTGTTCGTACTTTAACCCCCACAGTAATGTAAAAACAGTAATTATACCAAGTATTGTTCATAGTATTTATTAGATTACCCGTTAAATTGTATTTTATTTACATTTACATTTTATTTTGTTTACTTCTAAACCCAACCATCACAGTAATGTAAAAATATTACTTATTGTTTTACAGACTGACATAAATGATGTTGCTCCGCAGCTGTATCCCATCTAGGCTTTTTACAGGCCTCTAAAGTCACGTGGGATCATAAAACCTGTTTATAAATGCTGGAATAATGCAGATAATTGACTCAGAAAGGAGCAAGAGCTTGAGTGGATGATATAGAAACGATTTAGATTGCTCTTATGTGTTATTTGTTTTGTCTTGTTTTAGGGTTTCGCTGGTGTGAATTATCTATATTCAGCTCACGCTGCAGATTGAAAGTCTCACGGTCATTGTCATGTGAAAAGCGCATTCATTGTAGTATTGTTATTGTCATGGTAACGAATGCTATTCACGGAGCTCCTCGGGGCCTCTATGAAAATATGAAACGCATTAAATGAATAACGGGATCAAATGAGAAAAGCAGCATGTGTAGGAGTGTGTGTGTAAGATCTGTGAAAATGTAAGATACATAAATATAAATATTATGTAGATTAATTATTTTATTATTTTAAAATAATCTAAAGGGTTTAAAATGTTACGTAATGCATACTGTTATATAAAGTAAATGCATGCAAAATGTTTTATGAATTTATATAAAGCGCATAAATAGTATAAATGTTTATATTGTATGAAAAAATGCTGGAATTTATTGATAAAAAAATATATATTTTTATTATATTTTAAAAATATATCACACAATATTACAGATATTTTCAAACAATTAATATTTAATGCACATTTATTAATAATTGCAAAATAAATGCATTAAATATTAAATGTTTCAAAATATCTGTAATATTATATGATATATATTTAAAATAATATAAACATATATATTTTTACCAAAAAATTCCAGCATTTTTTCATACAATATAAACATTTATTACTATTATTATTATTATTATTAAATAAACTAAATAGAAAAATACACATTATATAACATTGAATAAAATTATAAATTTAATAAAATACCAGTTCAATATTAAAAATTTTATAAATGTTATATTACAGCATATAAATATTTTTTAATTATAATTAACTATACATAAATGCATATATTTTTTAATTATAATTAAATGTTTTTATTTATATGCTGTATTATAATGTTTTTAATATTTAATTAATCCACAGTTCATATTAAAAATATTACATATGTTATATTTCAGCTTATAAATAAAAATATTTAATTATAATTATCAATCCTTATGTTTATATCTGTTAATTAGAATAAAATGTTTTTATGTATATCCTGTAATATAACATATCATATTTTTTATATTAATTAATCCATAGTTCATACTAAAAATGTCATATGTTCTATTACAGCATATAAATAAAAAAATGTAATTATAATTAACCATACATTACACACATAACACACAGTAAAACCAATATATATAATTTTTATATATATCAGGGATCAGAACCATTTATAGTCAACATATATATATATATATATATATATATATATATATATATATATATATATATATATATATATATATATATATATATATATATATATATATATATATATATATATATATATATATATATATATATATATATATATATATATATATATATATATATATATATATATATATATATATATATATATATATATATATATATATATATATATATATATATATATAT